ATTTTACATAGGGGAAAAAGGAGATTTAACCTCAGACAAAAAGCATTGGAATTTAGTACATTGCTATTCTAGCAGACTTCTAGGGGAAATGCAACCCTGTCTCAAAAAATCAAATAAATAGGGCCAGGATTTAGCTCAGTGGCACCGCTTCTGCCGCACAAGCACAAGGTCCTGAGTTGGATCCCCTGTACAAAAAAAAAAAAAAAAAAAAAAGATCATTCTATTCTCTTCTGGCTTCTGTAGTTTCTGGGGACAGATCAGCCATTACTCCTACTACAGTTCTCTAAACGTAATGGCTCTCCTCTGGTAGTTTTTACAATTGTCTCTATTTTTTGTGGAGGGGGTGTGTGTGTGTCTAAATCTGACAGGCTTCAATATGGTTTTCCTTGTATTTATCCTGGTTGGAATTCATAGTTTATTCTGTGTTTCCATCTCTTTCTCTGGTTTGGAAATGAACTGCTTCTCAATATTCCCTCAATCCAACTACATATCATCTGATTTCTTCTCTTTCTGAGACTACTGTATTTTAGATCTTTCCGGTAGGTCTCACACATCTCTCACACTCTTTCTGTCTCAATTTTCTCTCTCTTAGCACTGGATTTCTACTGAACTTTTTTCCCCTAGCATATTACTCTATTCTGCTGTTTTGCTGATAAATCCAACAATCAAATTCTTAATTTTTTTTAGGGGTACAGTATCCAAGTCTCTGATAAAATTCATCCTTCTCTTTACCATGAGCGTATTAAAGTCCATGTCTGAATAACTAACATGTCAATCATATGTGGCTGTTTCTTTGTTTTCCCCTCTTGGTTTTTGGTCTATTCAGTCCTATACTATATTGCTGAATGAAATACTGGATTATGAATGAAACACTAAAAGATCTACATGACACCTTCCTCCAAAGAGGGCTGTTTCCTTTTAGCCACAGAGGAGCAGTGACTCATCCACATTTTCTTGAGGGCTGGTCTATTTCAGTATTATCCACAATCAGAGAATGGCCATGATGGAGTCTGAACAGAAATTTTGATATAATAAGGCCCCTCTAACTTGGCAGGGCTTAAACTCTGAGTTCAAAGGGAACTAAAGACTTGGAAGTGTCTATGTAATTTACTCCTCTCCTAGACTTAAGCCACAAAGTTCTTTTAGACTTCCACCTTCTGTGCCCAGTCAGGTTAGATTGCCATGTTTGGAATCTCTACTATACCACAATCTGGAAAATGCCTCCAGGAAAAACAGAGCCAGGGAGACAAGGAGCTCACACTTCCTCTGTGTCAAATTCACAAGCTCTCCAAAATTTTCTGGTTTGGTTGCTCTCAACAATGGAATGGCTGCTTAGGGAAGAATAGAGAGGTACATAAAATATGATATGATTAAAGGTTATACACTAGAAAGTCAGGTGAATGCAAAAAAAAATCTGGAGGAATGCTTTGCCAAGGACTAGATACCATGGGCCTTAAGTTCATTTTCCCTTATCAGTCACACAACTTTGGTGGAAATACCAAAGTTCCCTGACTCCTACTTACTAAGGTAATCTTAATATATAATGTTTACATCAGAAAGGTGGAAAAACTGCACCAGGATTCAGCAAACTAGGCCTTAAGGTCAAATCTGGCTCGATACAGGTTTCTATATAGCCTATAACTTAAAGAATAGTTTTCTACATTTTTCAAATGATTAGGGAAATGTAAAAATAATACCTTGTAATGTACAAATTATAATAAACTTAATTTAAATTTTAAAAAATATATGTAATTCAAATGCTAGTGTCCATAAACACCATTACTCTGGTTTGCTTATGTATTATCAATAGGAACTTTCATGCTATCATGGCAGAGTTGAGGGGCATTCTTACTGCTTCACAGTGCTTCTCAGCATACAAGTTACAAAAAAGCAGTTAAAACTTGACAGCAACTTGAGTGTCATGCTTACTGCTGTACCAAGCATGATATTTCATTTACTTTTATTACCAGCACATCCTCATCAAGGCAAGAAAAGTAGACCCTGAATATTATGCTTTTAAGAGCATTAATTACTTTGTTATTTGAATGGTTAGGCACTGTTTCTTATGCAACAACACTAAAGCTGTGCTACTAGAAAACAGTATGTGTTGACATTATGAGACTAAGCACTCATCATGACATTTCCAATTCAAAGGCAAGCAATGGTCAGGAACAAAAAGCAGTATCTTATTATAGAATTTCTACACATACACATACACACACACACACACACACACACACCCCTCAGCCTGTGGTTCCGCTGCCTGCCTCGCAAGCTCAAGGGCCTGAGTTCGATCCCCGGAACCAAAAAAAACCCAAAAACAAAAAACAAAAAAACACTATTTGAAGATTTGAGAATACTGGGAGCACTGACAAAAAACAAGATGTGATCCTGAATGGCTTTTCTTGGCTCTTGATAAGCTGACAGATGTTACCAATATTTCTAAGCTGTTTAAGAAGTCAATGGTGAATTTGAAGTAACTGAAAAGTTAGTTTCTATGAATACTTTGTGTGGAACAACTATTGGCAAGAATATTTTCAAAGTTGAGAAAAACAATTTAGTAAACCCACAGAGGAATCTGCAAAGACATGTTACACAACTGGTAGTGGTAAAAATACTCGTTGTAGAAAAGAACGTGGTTGGACAATTTTATCAAACTTGTAAAAATGTAAGGTGCTCAAAAGTATGGTATAGTCATTCCATGGAAAAATACTTTAATTAATCATGTGTAGTAAAATGGTAGTACCCACAGTTAACTGCAATGTGCTCTCACTGTCAGTTTTTATCACGGGTATGGTGACAAACACCTGTCTGTAATCCCAGAACTCCAGCAGGCTAATGCAGGAGAATCTCAAAAGTGTTCAGACTGGCCAACTTACTAATATAAAAAAACACATAAAAGGGCTAGGGATATAGCTCAATGTGACAGCCCTAGGTTCAATTCTCACTACCACGCCACCCAGCAGTTTATGTTTTAGCAATGACAATTCTGTGATTTTTTTCCTCTCAAATGAAAACTATCCTCAGTCACTACTACCAAGTATGGAATAGTTTTAGAATTGGCTACAATGTCTTTTTTAATGAGTTCAACCTGAGATTATAAAGGAAAAAACTACCTTATTTGCACATTTACACTGTTTTAAGTCATTTTTGACAACTAGTACTATTTGAATCACAAGCAAACTGCTTCTTACACTTCCCATACTGTCAAAAATTAGAACAAGTCAGATCTTTATTCCTACACAAATGTGCAGCAGATCTATTTTCCATGCTCAAACTGTAGCATTCTTCAGACCTCAATTCAAGTGCAAAGAAATTTCTGTACATCAAAATTCACTCACTATGCAGCTGAAGAGCTTCCACCTAACTCTATTTGGAAGTAATACGCAATGTAATGAACACACTAAGGCAAATAAATATGAAGAGAATTCCATAAATGCTTTTCAAGTGATGAATATGCACAACTAAAACCATACACTCAGACTGACAGTAGCAAGGTATTTGGTGGTTTTTATCTGTGTGAAGACATTTTTCATGATGAAATATATAAAATTTCATTACAGATCACCATCAACAAATGATCACTTGCAGTGGGCCTGGTAGCACAATCCTGTAATCCCAGGACTCTGGGAGGCTGAAGCAGGAAGATCACAAATTTCAGCCCAGGTAGGGCAACTCAGTGAGACTGTGACTCAAAATTTAAAAAGGACTGGGGATATAGCTCAGTGTGAAGGCCCTGGGTTCATTCTCCAGCATCCCTATCCAAAAACCCACCCTAAATGACCACTTGCAATCAATTCTGATGACTGAGAAAACTAATTCTGAATTTCAATTAAGCAAAATGTCAATGTTCTCCAAAAGAATTCTATTCTTCTAGTGATTACAAAAAATTATTCTCAACCACTATAGTCTACATTTTTTACTTATGTAAGAATTTTTCCAATGCAGGTGTGTCTTCTAAATTACAAAGGATGTATGATGTCTTTGCATTGTATGCACATCAAATTTTCACTATCATCTGCTCTTCTTCAGCAAAATTCTTTTTTCTTTGGGTATGGGATATTGAATTCGGGTCCTTGCGCTTGAGCAGCAGGCCGTGAAACCTCTGAGCTAAATCCCCGGCCCAGCAAATTCTTATTTATAACCAACTGCCTTCTATAAAATAGCAAGATAAAAAACTATACCACTTACGCCTGCTGGCCTTGTAAAATCTTAATCTTCATTAACCACTGATATTTTAACTCCCATTTACTCTATCCCTCCCCCACTCACTCAAGGTTACACTCTAATTGATGGCAATCTGATTTCCTGAAAACTGGGAGGCAAGTTTTCCACATTTAGCACAAACATGAGCCTTTAACAAAAAGTAAAATTTTTTATAATTAGCTAAAATGTGGAATTTTGGTTTTAAGTGAACGAATTAGGGAGTTGCCATACTTTCAATTTATCCTAGGTTTGCCTGATAGAAGCTCTGTATTACAGCTCAAATTGTCTGTAATATTGTGTATGCACATGAATGTTCTTCTGAGAAGGCCTATGGCTTTTATGAATTCTCAAAGGGGTGACTCACCACTGGGCGTGCACACCAATTATCAGCTGGTACAATAAAGTGTAAAGAAAAATGGTATATACAAGAGAGGGATGGATATTTCTGGAACAGGTAAAGGAGTTATGATTCTCACTGTGTTGACATCTCCACTGACGGTGCAAAAGCAAAGTGGGGTCAAACTGCTGGCACCTTAACATACACCAAGTTAGAGGCACCAAACTGTATCGGTAGTCACTATGCTGTTCACTGCCATGCATCTGCAGTGCAACACAAAGATTAGTGCTTCAATGCTGTATAATCAATTTCATTAAATTTTAATCCCCCAATAGACATCTTTTTAATCTATATAAAATAGAAAATACTCACAAAGCACTTCTGCCTCATACCTTAACATAATGGTTGTTACAAAGAAAAACTATTACTGCTGTACTTGCAACCTGATCTAGCTATTCTTTTCACAAAACACTTTTTACTGGAAAGCACTGACAAACCACGACTACTCAGACTTAGATATTTAACAGGTGCTCTTGAAAAAAACCAACAAACTGAGCCTGTCATTTCAAAAAAAACTGACTGTATTTGTTTTCAATGGTAAAGTTCAAGCTTTCAAAGCAAAAATTAAAAATTTGGAAATGTCATGCATAGCACCATAAGTAAAAGCATCCATATTTCCATAGATAAAGACTCTTCTCATGAGATCTTGTCACAGTATTAACTCTGATTTTTTTTTAACAACTGTCTTTTAAAAAATACTGTATATATGATGTGTCAATATTTGGACATCTATATAATTCAGCTGAAACAGTTTCCAAATGAGCAGTGTGTGTTACACAGTCAAGCTTAAGATAAATTTAAAGTAGAAGATAGAACCCTGGACTTACAGAAAAATAAATTCACTGCTAGTATTTTAGATTCTATATTGCTATTAACCTTCAAAAACTACTCTTTGATTTTATATATCACAGAATATCCTCAATTATCAAAAAAGGCTATTAAAATATTCTTCCCAACTACATATTATGAATATATTTTCTTTATATACTTCAGCCAAAACAATATATTAAAACAGATTCAGCAGAGAATTCAGCTATCTTCCATAAGATATTAGATAGGATTTTTGTAAGCGTGCTTGCCTTAAACTCATTATGTAGCCCGAGCTGGCTTCAAATTCACAGTAATCCTCCTGCCACAGTCCCTAGTATGCTGTGATCACAGGTATGTGCCACCACGCCTGTACTTTTTTCTTTAAGAACAGGTATTTCTAAATAATCAGCTTTAATGTCAAACATGGTGTTGATACCTCATAAAAGCTCTTATCTTCAATTCTGTTAAAAAAGAAAGTATGGAAAAGATGGGTGTTAACAAGGCCTCAAGACTCAAAGTTTAAGATTTAATGTCCTTTGTCCTCAGTCAAAAGAAAGCATATGTTCTAAAAGTACTTTTCACCATTTTATTTTGCCTCAAAATAGTTCTGTTTAGCACAAATACTGGTAAAATAATCCGTATTATTAACTCTGAGTAATGGAAACAGAAAAAAATTGTTATACACATATAAGGGAATGGTGGTTATATGCAATAAACACAAAGTGGAAGACACACATCTGTTAGGTACTCACACGAAAGAGCTTTTTCAAAATTAAATACTGTACGGGGAAGGTGTAGTGTAGGGCTCAGGAGTAAAAAGAACTACTACCACCTATTAGCTTAACATTTATACCAAGCAGTAACAACACGTAACATTCACATGTCAAAAATTTGAAGTGTTGTATCTTTTTATCTTTACACATACATTATGAAATAGATACTATCATCCCCAGTATGCCAAAGAAACTGGAGCAGAAATGAAATTTAATGCACATAAAACCTGTATCTTTATCCATTACTTGATATGGCTTCCCACTGTATCAACACTTATTGATATTTCTGGGTAAACATTTAATTGAGTAAATATCTGATATCATTCAGGATCAATAGCTATTATACTTGGCGTCTTAAATTCACAAAATATATTTCTTCCTGTCATTATTAATGTAGACCTTATTTTCTTGATGACAGGTTTGTAAGCATCTCACTTAGAAGTCTGGTCATTTTCTCTCACAACTTTTTTTTTTTTATCATTACCTTCCCCGTGGGGAGTTGGTACATGTACATAACACATCTTACTTTTTTCCTCTATGTTGGCTCAATTATTTGATAAGTACTTAACATAGATAGAACCTATACAATTTCAGCTCATTTTACTATTTAAAATTTTAAACAGAGCTATTATTACTGTTAGGTACAATATCAGAACGAACTATGTAGTATCAGATCTCCTTTAACAACTTTTACTATAACAGATTAACTTTTGATTTCTCTAAATATTGAAAATGGGACGATCAGGGGAATGGTTACAATGGTGTTAGAAAAGAACTAGCTAGGAACTTCTGTTACTCAAGAATATTCAGATTAACATTCTTGAAAGAGGGCTGGGGATTTAGCTCAGTGGTTCGGCCACCTGCCTCGCAAGCGCAAGGTCCCAAGTTCGATCCCTGGTACCAAAAAAGAAAAAAAAAGAAAAACATTCTTGAAAGAAAACTCCTTTATGGTAGAATAAGCTGTGTCAAAACCTCCAAACTGCTCATGACCAAGCCTCAAGAACCAAATGCAGTGCTCTCTTCAGGATGCACAATCTTATTATTTCTTCTACTTGTCCTTGCACAGATGGGAGGTAAATCCGGGAAGGGAGGGCCCTGAGGCCCGGTGATTTTTAGGAAGGTGATGCATACTCTCTTAAATCATTATGCTACACACATGAATAATGTGGAGGCAGAATAAAGGACAACCACTATTATCTTCTTTCTACTGCTTGACAAGTATCCACCTAAATCCAAAGACTGATTTTCTCCATCAAATCAAGAAAAGATTAGCTACTGGTTACTTATTTAACTTTAGAATGAATTTACACATTTCTGATCTTCATCTTTTAGTATTAGAACAAAGACTTTGTCTCCATTAGTATATTCATCTTATCAGACAGCCTGCTATTGGGTGTACTGCAGAATGAGGTGTAAAAAATTATACCTACCAATAATCACAACTTTAGAGTTAACCCAATTCAATCTTGGGTGTAAGGCTGAGTAGAGTAGTAAAAAGAAGTTATGACATTGATCTTTTTCTTTTGTCTACCTTCAAAAAAGATCTATATTTTCAGGAGGAATAAACCTTGAAATGTCTATCTGCAGCTACCAGATGGGCAGTGGTTGCTGCCCAAAGGTATTAATTCCTATCCAAACAAAATTAAGTCCCAAAAGATTTAACTGAGAGTCCCTATCCACTACCCCTCCAAACAACTGCCAAACATACTGACACTTACGACGACTTCTGCTTGCCTCCCTGTATCTGAAGACTTTTAGATAAATTTTGTTTCAGAAACTTAATGGGATTTTAGTCAGTATTTTAAAATACCTAGACATTTCTATATACTTATCTTACCACTGTTGTAATTAACAATGGATACTTTGTTAAATGATGTGAATAAGATGTGAAAGAAAAAAAACTCAGTAGAGGCAATTCACTATCTTCCTCACATCCTAAATTTCAATATAATCCTGTTTCTAGACTCAAATTTAAATAGATTTCTAAATCCCAATATAATATCTTTACCTTGGATTTTGTAATTTTCCAGAAAAGCTCCAGCCCTGCATTCAAACAGCCAAATAAAAACATTCTTGGCTACTTTTTCAAACTGTCAAGTTTTTCTTACTTGCTGGAAATATTAACAAAGGAGCGGGGACAAAACAAAACTCCCTAATCTATTTATCAGTTAAAATATATTCCACCATCTTCATGGCTCCTCTAGCCTCGCATCCAAAAGAATCAAGAAGAAATAAAATACTCAGTAACCAACCAACCTCCTCTCCTCCCTTACCTGTTCTTTTCTAACAAGTCTCGACTCTGGTCCATAGGGCATTTTCCCTGAGAAAGCTGAGGTGGCCAATAGCAATTACCACTTCATTCCAACTGCCTAACCTTAAGATTGCTGGGTCAAATTCAACAATTCAATCAGTGTGGAGGCTTAGAACAGTCTGGCAGTTCCTCAAAAGATTAAACATTAGTTACCATATGACCCAACAATTCAATTTCTACTTCTATAACCAAGGGAACTGAAAAAACTACTTAGAAACTTGTGCACAGATATTAAGAGCAGCATTATTCACAAAAGCCCAAAGGGAGCTGGGCAAGGCAGCACACGCCTGTAATCCCAGCACTTGGGAGGCTGAGGCAGGAAGACTGCTATGAGTCTGAGGCCAGCCTGGGTTACATAATGAGACCTCATCTTAAAAAAAAAAAAAAAAAAAAAAAAAGGCCAAAAGAGAAAAACAAAACATGGATGAAACAAAGAAACATTAAACCAGTCACAAAAGACTACATATTGTAACATTTCATCATATCACTTACATAAAATGTCCAGAAAAAGCAAATCCACAGAGACAAAAAGTAGATTAGGGGTTGCCAAGAGCTAGATGAGGAACATGAAGAGAAAAGGAGAGTGTCTCTGAGACCAGTGTTTTTTGGGGTATGTGTGGAAATGTTCTAAAGCTGATTGTGGCGATGATTATACAACTCTGGATACGCTAAAAACCACTGAATTATGCACTGTATGG